ACTCTATTTCTGACGATTACAAGCTTGTTGGATATAGCGATAGCGACTGGGGAGGAGATGTAGATGACCGGAAAAGCACAAGTGGCTTTGTGTTTTTCATTGGAGAGACGGCCTTCACATGGATGTCAAAGAAGCAACCAATTGTCACTCTTTCAACTTGTGAAGCGGAGTATGTGGCGGCTACTTCATGTGTCTGCCATGCTATATGGTTACGAAGCTTGCTAAAAGAGTTGAGTCTACCACAAGAGGAGCCAACGAAGATCTTTGTTGATAACAAATCAGCAATAGCATTGGCGAAGAATCCAGTTTTCCATGATCGAAGCAAGCATATTGATACCCGTTATCACTACATTAGGGAATGTGTCACCAAGATGGAAGTGCAATTGGAGTATGTGAAGACAAATGACCAGTTAGCTGATATCTTTACCAAGCCTCTCAAGCGTGAAGATTTTATCAAGATGCGGAGTTTGCTTGGAGTGACAAACCAAGTTTAAGAGGGGGTGTTGAATTATAAACTTTGGTTTGGGCTCTCCCACTTGTCCAAGATTCAAAGCAAAAGTCAAGAAGCCCAAGAAGAAGAAGTGTGTAGAAGAAATTATGGATAAGACTAAGAGAAGGATCTAGAGATAGCTCAAGTAGTATAAATAGGGATGCTTGGCTCACTTGTAAAAGCATCCCACAACAAGCAAAAACAATCATAAATAAAGAGTAGTAGTTTTAAGAAAGAGTTCTCTCTAAAAGAGTTATAAAACTCTCTCTAAATATAAAGCTTGAGTAGCAAATCTCTTTTCTAAATACGGAGGCTAACTTTTATAGTAGCAGTCCAATTTCCAACTTATCCGCTACAAGAAACGTTATCCCGCTAATATACCCAACAGTATATAGTTATTAATGTTCGTTATGTTGTTTATAATATGTACACAAAGTTACTGTAAATAATATAAGACAATAAACGATGATAAGTTTAAAATGTATAGGCAGATGGAGAGTGAAGAGGTTGGGCATCTCGAGAAAAAACTGAAGAGAACAGAAAGAGAAAGGGAGTTATTTACTCGATGGTTATGGTCCCCCCTCCCAGTTTCCATTCAATTTTTTCTCTTGTAATTTAGTCAATTCAATTTTTTTAGTCACCAACAATTACATCTTTTTATTTTTGTTATTTATAAGTTCTAATAAGAACGTTAGTTCTATATGGCGTGGCCACTTTTGACAAATTAATGGGAATGATAATTTCACCGGAACAAAATTACTATAAATTATTTTGCTGTTGAGGCTCAGTGTACGATATATACTTGGAGCATAGTGTAAGTAATGCTGTTATCTTAATTTTTATTTTGGGTAAGTGGCTTGTTAAATGTAATAAGCACATGCCGATGAGGATACGTAATTTAAAGTAGACGGGTTTTAGAGAAAAATGGAATCGAAGAAAAAATCAAAGTTACATAACAACTGAACTGATTCTATTGCATAGGCTAATAAACGTTTTCTCTGCACTGTTCCTGTCCCAAACACCAATCCCTATGTTCAATGCATAGGGTAAATTTCTCGATAGAAACCTAACATACGTCTTCTTTATTTTACTTTTGTCATCCCCAACACTCATATTTTGTGTGTTAGATAACTTAGATGTGTTACGCAAAGACTTTTTGCCAACATATATGCAATTTTTTTTCATGCTTGTACAATGGTGTACACACTTAAACCCAAAACAACAATGTGTGCACATGCACAATGCAGAGTAAGGAAATTTTCACTTTCACAACGAGAACCTTTCGTAGTTTGGCCCAACAGAAGAAATGTAAACGTTTAACACTATTAAACAAAAGCCCAGTCTGTCTGTAAACAAGTTGGGTCATCAGAGAAGCATATAGTCATATACAGTGTATTATTTATCCACACACAAAAGTCTTCTTCCACAACAAATAATGCTTTATAATATGATGGAGGTATTTGGTGTAGAATTAAGTATTAAACATATCTAAGTGACCTTTGGAAACTCTATTACACCAATCCATAGTAAATTCGATTTTATATTAGGTACATCATTTAGAAAAATGAGCCTAAACGAAAAATAAACCAAAGTTTGGTTGACCATGCTTATTGCTTAATGTTATCATGTCCCTGCAACTTGGTAGTATATTGTCGTGAAGTAATAATAAATACACACGTGGCATACTCCGTCAAGCGAAACGTGTCAATTATCTTATCGCCTTTTCAGAAAAATATATTTGAATTAACATTTTTCTAACATGAACAGAAAAAAAAGAAATACAAGTTGGCCACTATGCGGATCCCACTTCTCGATCTGCTCTTGATTGTTTGCGTCTCTTTAGGAGATCCTCCTCCATTCCTCTCCAACTTGTTTATAATTCAATTCTTATGGTTTTTATGAAATTTTAGCACTGCATGAATTCTAAAAATCTAAAAATTGCTACCTAAATTCTAAAAATTGTTTCTCGTTTTCCTCTTGGTCACTACTATTATTTATGAAACTAGGTGATTTTCCCGTGCATCACGGGTATAAAATATTTATTAAATAAATATACTATAATAATTGATTACTATTTACTATTAATTTTCAATTAATTTATAATTTGCATACATGACTTGTATTAATAATATTATTTTACTTTAATTAGACATATTATTTTAGAAATATTATATCTAGTCAATTTTATTATTTTATAGTCGATTTTACTGTTATTATTTGGATATATTAGATTACATTCTTTTATCTGAATTCAACTATAATATTTTTTTATTCTAAATATATTAAATTTTGTTTACTTCTATTATTTACTTTTAGGTTGTTTGATGTCTCAGATGTCAATATATTTTAGAAAAGTTATTTATAACTTAAGATATATTATGCCTATAATGAAATATAAAAATAATTTTGATTTCAAATTACATCAGTCGATATAAAGATAATATTTGAAGTCTCATGCATATATATAAATTTCACAAAATAAATCAAATTAAATTAATATTATTTATCATTTAAATGTGCCTGTATTTTCATAATATTTATCAAGTTATATGTTTCTTTAAAATATAGTAGAAAATAAAGCAATAATCAGTAGGAAATTACATACTTAAGTAACTCATATATTTTTGGAGATTCATGAACACATATCAATATTTATAATAACTAAAATATTTTATAAATTCTAAATAATTTTATATCTTAGATTTATTGAATGATAAACTGAAATTATTTTAAATTATCTTTAAAATGAGAATTCGGATTTGCTTTGGTATTTTTATTATGGTTATATTAAGTTACACAAACATAAAATTTTTAAAAAATTAAAAATTAAGAAACATATAATTTAAATAATGATAGATTATAACATATCTATGTCACTAAAGTATATAGTGGTATGATATTTTAAAATATTTTGTAATTATTTGATTAAAAGATGTTAATTGTTAAAAATATTATAATTTCTCTTAAAAATAAGCAGTAGAAATTGTGGTTGTATTTGAGAAGTCATATTATATAAGTAAAATTTAACTTATAAATTTTTTTTTGCTTTAGTTGAAAGATACTATAGTCAACTAAATATATGAAAATAAATAAAATATTCAATAATTTTAATTAAAAACTATTTTAGTTAATAAAAACATATACTTGTTTATGTTACTTAAAATTATGTTTAAAAGTATTTTTTTTTCAAATATCAAAATTATATGTGTGAATTTTTTGCTATGAAATCACATTATATAAAAAATATATATTTTCATATAAGAAAATACAGATATAAAGAAAGTATTTTATTAATTAAAAAGTACATTTTATGTTATTTAAAATATTTTTAATGGATGTTACTATTTTGTTAATTTTCCCTTTTAATGAAATCATATTATATAAACATATATTTTCCTTTTTAATTTTTCCTTTTAAATTTTAATGGATGTTACTATTATATTTTTTCTATTATAAATTTGTTGGAAATTTTTAAAAAGAAAACTAAATACAAAACTAATAATACTATTTTACTATTATGATAGTATATTACTATTTTGTGAACTTTCTTTTTTAATGAATACATATTATATAAACATATATTTTCGTTTTTAAATTTAATAGTTTTTTTCTTTTTTATTATAAAAGTTATTTGGAATGTTTTAAAAAGGAAACTAAACATAAAATTAATAATATTATTTAAATATACTATTTAAATATATTCATCAAGGGTATCATAGTAATCAACCGGTGTAAGAGTCAACGTGAGCGCGCCACATAGGAAAGTGACTTCTCAAATAATATTATAGAGATCACACCACTGAATATATGTGTATTATTTAAACAATAAAATTATAAACAGAATAATTTATACTTCAAACATATATTTTTTCTAACAATTTAATTTTAATAATATATTGATATAAATTTTAAGATGAGCTTAAATTAGCACACATTCTTATACAATAATAAGCTAAAAAGGAAAAAAGAAAAAGTATTCATATTTAATTTTTGATTTGCTTGTCGGGGGCCCAGTCAGGCTGGATACACGTGGCAATAAAGTGATTGTCTTAGTTGAGCACGTTGATAATTAGACACGTGTCAAGTTGTACATCAACAAGTAGCCTACGTCTACGCTAAGCTCTCTCCCCCACTTGATGCTCTTTTCCACGTGGCGCGGTGGGTGGTCGTCTATCTTTTCTTTTTTTCCACCAAAAAGAAAATATAAAAAAACATTATTCAAACCATACTACTAAATTTTATAATAATTAATGAAATTTAATAACAGTTTCGCTGATAGTAATAAAAGTTTCATGGCATATTAAGTGGAATTTTGGTATATTTCGTATTTTTTTTAAAGCTCAACTTGTGTGAAATATACTAAAGTGATTTAACTCCGTACAACGTCGTCAACTATGCTTGTGAAATAATTCAAAAACATGATTTTCTTGATAAATATAAAAATACTGCAAATTGTAGTACTATAGTTTATAATAGTAACACTTGGTGGTTATTTTAAGACAAATTGTTTCGTCTCTCTCGATATCGTAAAACTCAACAAATTCGAGTTCGGATTCTCTGACCTCAGTTTTTCAGATATTTGAATCAGCATTTGCTGTTTTTTTTTCTTAGTTTTCATTCTTTGATCATGGAGATGTTAAGAGCGAGGGGAAGCACAAACGGCGTCGTTCAAGTCCCCAAGTTTTTCGTCACGAGCAACTATTTTTGTCACAGAGACTCTGACCATGGTGAGAATCGTGAAGAAGCAAAGAAGGAGGAAGAAGAAGGTAAAGATATTGAGCTAACGTTAGGTCTCTCTCTGAATGGTCAGTTTGGTACGGATCCGAGATCGAGGAAGAGGAAGAACTTCGAACTGGCTCGATCTTCTTCCATACCGGAAGGTTTCGTCTTCGACGGACAAAGATCCGGTGGAGATATGCGGCAGACGGTGACGTGTGGAGCTTCGGACATGTTCCAGCTGGATCGGACGCGTTCTCTTCCTGTCAAAACGGAGACGGAGGCGAAGAGGAAGCGACAGGAGAATACAACGGTCCAAGCCGAGGCGAAGCCGTTTCTGTTATTTAACGTTCCTCCTCCGACAAAGGAGAGAGAAGAGAAAGATGGTTTTCTTGTCCCCGGACCGGTCAACGGGAGGGGTAAAAACGGAAACACGGCGAAGAAAAGGAACCAAGAAGTTTCGGGGATGGAGAAAGCTAGGAACATTTTGGAAGACATGCCGTGCGTGTCGACGAGAGATGTCGGAGCTGACGGGAAACGTGTGGAAGGGTTTCTTTATTGGTACGGAGGGAGCAAGGAGGAGGTGAAGATAGTGTGTGTTTGCCACGGGAGTTTTCTTTCTCCGGCGGAGTTCGTTAGACACGGCGGAGGTACCGTGTCCGACGGTGGTGGTGATGTTACTAGTAATCCTCTTAGAGATATTGTTGTTAAACTTCCTTCTTCATCTTTGTAGTTCATATTACTCTTTAGGAACCCAATTGTTGTTAAATGATTCTAAAAAATATTTTGTTTCATCTTGGATTCATTCCGTTTGCAAAATTACATTGAGTTTCTATAAGGTTAATTGTATTCTCATTCTCAAACTTTTTAAAAACAATTTTAGGGTATTTTCCAAAAAAAATTTCAAAGAAAACAACTCAAAACTATATAATACAACAATTTACAAGTGGAAAACATTATGTCCTTCCTATTATCAAACTAAAATGTCCTTTTTGCCCTTGAGAAACCATAGGAGTTTATTACCTCTCCTCTTCTAACTACTACACAACATGATGGAGCTCAGGTTGGAGCTGCTTCAAACGCATTACAACTTGCTTCATCGTTGGCCTCGTCGATAGAGAACCCAGCGTACAAATAACCGCTAAATGCAGAACCTCAACGAGATCATCATGCAGACCAACATCCCATAACCCGACCGTGAAAAACTCCTTAGCCCGTCCTTGTCTCAACAACATATCACCCCACTGCACAATATTAAAACCGTTACTGTACGTAACAAAAGAAGGATCAAGCACCTTCTTATCCGAAAGCAGCTCCAAAAGCACCACTCTGTAACTATAAACATCGGCCTTATCCGAAACCCTACAAGTCATCGCGTACTCTGGCGCCACGTATCCAAACGTACCCGCCACGCCTGTCATCGCGTGCGTTTCCGACGCATTGAGCAGCCTGGCTAACCCGAAATCAGATAAATAAGCGTTGTGATCATCATCCAAGAGGATGTTGCTGGGTTTGACATCACGGTGGAGAACACGTGGGACGCATTGGGCGTGGAGGTAAGCGAGAGCTCGCGCTCCGTCGAGAGCGATCTTGTGAAGAACACTCCAATCCACAGCTCTTTTGGAACGTTCTTGGATGAATCTCTAGAGGTTGCCTCCAGGGAGATAGTTGTAAACCAAGAACATCTCGGTCTCGCTCGCGTGGTAGCCAATGAGAGTCACGAGGTTCGTGTGTCTAAGCCTACCGAGCATTTTGATCTCTGCGTGGAACTGTTGAACGCCTTGGAACCGTCCGATCGATAGGCGTTTGATAGCAACGACAACGTTTTGAGAGATAACTGCTTTGTATGTTGCTCCGAATCCACCGTTACCGATTAGATTACTGGCATTGGAGTTTCTTGTAGCATTAACAACGTTGTCGAAGGTTATTGCAGCTCCTATGTAGATGAACATAGTGACTTTGGTTTGGTAGTGGTGGTGGCCATGATCTTTGATCTTGGATGCAACTTCTTCCTTGTGTAGAGGAAGAGAAGGATAAGAGCGATGAGAACAGAGACAATGGCTGAAGCTGTTGTCTAGTGGCGAAGATACATAATCCCGTTGGAGAGGAATGAAGGTGGATGATAGATGTCAACTGTGTGGAATGGAGGGTGAATCCATACACCATGTGTTATTCCAATGCTCTGCAGCGAGGCATGTATGGGCCCTGTCGGGTATTCCTCAACCGAAATTTGAATTTCAAAGTAGGAATGTTTTCAAGAACATGTATTACCTTATGGATTATAAATCATTGTAACTTATTATAGAAAAAAATTTAGACCTTCATCACAAAAATTTATGTGAGATTTTTAATAGTTTTAGTAATTTATACTCGTTTTGAAAATTTCAAAATACAACATATATATAAAAAAAGTCTAATGTTTATTATATGAATATTGTAGTTGTGTAATTTATTTTAATAATAAAAATTCAACATCCTCAAAGATGAATGAAGTCTAGATGGTTTTCATAGGTAAAACACGAAAAGAAGTGAACCGAGGTCATCACTTCCTTAGCCAGTTGAATGAATTGGGGCCTCGACACGATGAACTCACGACTTTAATCAGCAAAATCAAAGAACTTTCCAAAGATGCTTTGATCGATCCTATTGCGAAGGAAGATTTCATCAAACGCATAAGGTTTTGTCTCATTGGATATCAAGCCATCGGAGACATGAAGATCAAACTGGAGGATATGATGAAGGCTATAAACTGATGAATTGTGTTGCAAGCAAGCGTATGTCAATATACTATAAAAATATTATAAACTAAATTCACGGATATAAATATTATATGAAAATATATATTATTTATATAATATTATAAATTTGGAATAATAAGTTAAAATTATAAAAATATATTTTTTAAATAATTTAACAATCAATCATAAAGTTTTCATAAATTTGATATAGAAATAACTGATAAATATTTAGTAATAACAAATGCTTGTGAAATTGTATATGTAATTATAACATTAACCTCTCTATCACATACTCTGAATCTTCTTAGATCTTTTCTTATTTTTTCCAATTTATCATTTCTTTTTATTAGATTTTTGCTAATGTTTTCCTAATTTTTACATATTTTTATTAAATATTTATTTATTTCTAAATAGCAATATAAAACATGCAATCAAAAATCTATCTTAGGATTATTTTCAATTATAAAATTATTTTAATTACTATATTATTTAACTTAGAAGCAAAACATTTTTTATAGATTAGACGAATTGTTAAATATAATTCTTCCAATCTACAAAACCTAATTATTTATAAAGCATACATTATATATAATTAATAATTATTATAGGTACGACTTTATTTTTATATGATATGAAATCTATATATATTTTGCTATAGATTGTTTCTTATTCATTTTTATGTAGTATATAAATATAAAAACAATTAATCAAACATTATTACAGTTGGTAGCGTAAGTTAATAGTTGCTATCAGTTTGCTGTTTTGAGTCAGTTAATTAATACTAACTGTTGTTTGTCGATGGATTATAATAGTAATTCAAGTAGCGATCAACTTTTGGAATTTGATTGATTCGTATGTGTGAAATTCTTTTTTCCCTATAAATATCCAATCTAGTAGAGCACACAGAAGCCAAAAACAAAAATCCAAATTTCTCAGGAAAATAAAAAACAGAGAAGAGTATCATGAGTTCCAAGAAGGTGAATGAAGGAGTGGAGATGGTGCTTATGGGAAAAACTATAAAGAATGTGATCCGAGGTAATCAGTTCGCGAAGCAGTTGGACTTTTATTTTTTTTAATATAAACTTTGATTTTACAAAGTTTGAAAAGAAAAAATAGATTTTTTTTAAAATTGTGAATAACTTTATAATGTAAATTTTTTTAATGTTTTAGGTCGAATTGTTTAGATGCAAATAATCATTTGTTTTGATGATTTTTTAAATTAATTTAAAGATAATTAAGTTCGGACAAAACTCATAATTATTATTAAGTTGGAAACATAATATGAAGAATTAAAATCCAGTAATTTAAGACGGTGTCGTTTTCTTAAGACAAACTGAGACATGATAAGGGGCCGTATTAGGAACGTCGGCTCACTTATTTGAGTTAAATAAGGCCTTATGAAGAGAAACGTAGGCCCATTAGTGTATATATCCAGAACGGGTCGGGTTTACGACCCGGATTTGGAGAAAACCCTAGCCGAAGTGTAATGACGCATATATAAGCTTATGTGAGATTGAAAGCCCTAGTCTTTTGCGAGAGTGACGGAGAGAGAGATTCAGCTGCGTTCGTTGGGCAAGCAATACCTCTGTTCTGAGCAAAAGCCATGGCGACAGGTAAAACAGTGAAAGACGTCTCTCCTCATGACTTCGTGAAGGCTTACGCTTCTCATCTCAAGCGATCTGGCAAGGTTTGTTGTTTTAGCTCCAAGTTTCCACATTTCTGAAGTGTGTTTATTCAGTAGGTGTTGAGCTTTTGGAATAACAAAGGCAGATTATATTGTTGGTTAGATAGATTGAAATTAGAATCATTAGCGAACAATAATCTTTTAAGTTTAGATTTCAATGAAATTAGATTCACAATGTTCAAAAGATAGGAACATTAATTGAAGCTCACTCAATTAACTCGTCTGACATGTTGATAACCATTCCTTTGTGTTTAAATGTTCCTTAGGACCTAATGTATTATTGACTGTTGTATGTTTCAGATCGAGCTTCCATCATGGACAGACATTGTTAAGACCGGGAAGCTGAAGGAGCTTGCCCCATACGATCCTGATTGGTACTACATCAGAGCCGGTTAGCAGCATTCTTACCCCTAGTCCCAGCTTTATTTCTTAACACTCATATATTGTATAAAAGTTTTATAAGAATGGATCTCTTATTATGATGCAGCATCTATGGCAAGGAAGGTCTACCTAAGGGGAGGTGTTGGAGTTGGTGCGTTCCGTAGAATCTATGGTGGCAGCAAGAGAAACGGCAGTCGCCCACCACATTTCTGCAAGAGCAGCGGTGGCATTGCTCGTCACATCCTTCAGCAGTTGGAGACAATGAACATCGTTGAGATAGACACCAAAGGGTAAAGTTTCCTTCTATGGATTCCCTTTTATAACCAATGCCTTCTCTTTTTTGTTTATTCTTTTTTTTTTGAGAAAAGAGACTGATGGTTACAAACTGGTTTTGTGTCTTGTCTTCAGAGGAAGAAGAATCACTTCCAGTGGTCAACGGGATTTGGACCAGGTCGCTGGACGTATTGCAGCTGAAGTTTGAAGATCTGAATGATGCTTTTAGTTCTTCACTACTTTTGAAACCAGTTTTCTGTTTTTAGTGTTTTATCCTGCAAAACCATTATCAATATTGTTGGAACCGCGCTCACTGCGTTAAGAATCTTTTTGTTGAGGTCTTTGAACATTAAAAATCCTTCTTCCGTTTATGTTTTCTGTCTCGTAACTCCCCAAGTATCGTCCATCCACTATTACTGTGATCCCAGTTTCTGAGAATTACTTGCTTATTTACTGTGTTGTCCTTAGTTTCATCCACTATCACTCGATCGTTTATTACTGTGACCCCAGTACTGTAACTGAGAATTACTTGCTTATTACCGTGACGATTCCAAAAGATGGATCATGAACGAGGAAACAAAAGCTTTGTAGGTTGCAACTTATTGATTGCTTCTTCAAATGGTAACAATTTTGTTTGGCAAGTTATGTTTGATAATATGGACAGGGACAACAACAAAAACTAATGTGTTGTGCAAATGGAAAGCAGTGGTGTTTAGAGGTCTTGCTGGTAGAAGAGATCGCTCATGTAAGCTCCTGTCTCACTCCAAAACGATGTACTGCAGCATCTCTTGTGTTGCGTTTTGTGAAACTTGGGATCTCGAGGTATCGTCGGGTGTTTGTTCGACCTTTAAATGGCCAAAACGACAACAGTTTATCTGTCTGTGTAATATTGCTATCATCAAGACGAGAACCGTTGTTATTTTACCTTCTGGGGATAAATGGTCGATCAAAGTATGGCATTGGTTGTGCCTTTGGGACCAATTCTTTCCTCAACCTTCTTAACTCTTCTTCCTCTGCTACCTTTTGTTGTTGTCCTCTATCTGCTTTGCATTGCTCCATCAGTCTCATTTTCTCAGCAACCTAGTACAAATGAAACAACCGCAAACAATGAAGCCGAATTGCTGAGGATTTTTATTAGCCATTGCAAGATCATCTTTTACCTGGTAATCAAATTCTGCACGTTCCATTGCTCGAATGTCTGAATGGAGCTTCAAATCTACTGGTATTGTGATACCTTTCACATGAGGCTTAACCAGACTCTGAAGCAGAGAACAACAACATTGCAATGTTTAAGTCAAATCTTCTGCAAAAGCTTTTTTTTTTTAACTTAATAACATTATCATCTTACTATCAAGTGTGAATTTCACCATACGACATCAAAATATCAAATAACTCTTTAAACGATATGGTATGATATTAACTTAATGCTTATAAAAGAGCAAAGGATAGTCTCACCTCAGGTTCATCAGTTGTCGAGGGAAGACCTTGAGCTATTGGGATTCTCATCTTCTCTTCTTCTATCGTCATCTCTAGTAGCTTCTTTGCTAACTCTTCTTCTTTCATTCGTCCACGTTCCTACTTACACATAGACCAAGAATCACAAAACTATTCAATCTAATTATAATTTGATTCTGACAAGTTTATACCTCAGTTCTAAGTTTGAATGGCTTCAAAGAAGTGACTTTGACCTGCTTTTTCTTTGATCTTCTACTACCCATTGAAACGGAAGAGTCCAAGCTCTGTCGTAAATAGATTATCAAGCTTTGTTGTAAATAGAATATATATATATATAGAGAGAGAGAGAGAGAGAATCACAATACATCATCTAACACACTTACATTTCTTCTGCTCCTCCTCCCACCATTTGAATTAAGGCTTGAAACACTGTAACATCACCATATCAGACAAAACAAAAACTGAAGTATGCATAAGTAACAATAGTTGATCATTTATGTTTACCTGTTTTTGTCACATGATGAAGAAACTGAGGCATGAGGTCGTTCCAGTCCCAGATTAGTAGCTGTTAAAACCAAACCAGATGGAAGAAATGAGGAACTCCATGTGACCTCATCAGTCTCAGCTTCCTCAGAACACTTAGGCTGCTGCATGCTCATCCCAGGCAATTCCCATTTCGGAACTTTCTTATCCTCCTTCTCGTTTCCTTCCTTGAACGTTTTTGCCTTTGCAAAGGGGAAGCAAGTAAGCTTCTCGAATGCTTTAACGAGATGCATCACTTTACCATACTCAGGGAGACTCCTTCTAGCTTCTTCAAGCACTTTCTCTCTTCTCCTCTTCATCGAAGAAACCTCAATCTCATCTGATTCCTCCTTCACCACATTCTGGCTGGATTCTCCAGTTTCTTCCTCCGAATCTCTTCCTTTTTCGAAAAACTCTTCTTGAGAAGCACAGAGAGTTTCGTAAGCAATACAAACACATTTCTTCATGTTCTTAGCTCCACACTTACAATCCACTTGTGCGATAACAGACTCTGAATCCTCCTCCTCCTTATTCTCTTTCCTTGCATTCTTCTTCTTCTTCACCACCACGAATCTCCTCTCTATGATACGATTCCGTGGCGAAAACACCTTCTGGCTAAGATTAAGCTTTGTTCTCGTAACCTTCTGCGAAGATTTACTCGACGGAGAGCCGGAGATCCTCTCTCTCAAGACGTTAGGGTTCGAATTCTCATATGAAACTGAAACCATTTGAGCCTTCGATTGGAATCTGATTGGATCCATCACCAGAGTCTCGGGTTTAGCATTGTTTGATTCCATGGGAGATGATTACAGAGGAAGAATAGTTCGCGAATCGGTGAATCGATCTTAGATTTTGAGATGAAATACACAGAAACGCAAGAGTTAGGGTTTAGGTTTGGAGTGAGTGATGCAATATTGGTAGCGAAAAGGAGAGAGTATAGAGGAGGGAGAGGGAAAAATGGGGGGTAAAATATCTGACCGTTGCGACTTGTATGGAGGCGCAAACTTGTAACGGTTCGTTAATTACGGATTAAATTTAAAAGATTTCCGTTTAATGGTTGAGATTATGAATTTCCATTGGGTTTAGGCTTTAAGCCCACTCCATATTATTTGAACGACATCGCTTTAGTTTAAATTAGAGCTCCTCAAACCTTGCCATATCAGGCACAATATGCCACGTCGGACCTTCTGGCTGAGACAAAAGCCTAAGCAATTTACTAAAAAGCCCCCTTTCTTCCTTCCCTCCCTCGCTTCTCAGAGCTTAATAGTCTCTCTGTTTCTCACTTTATCTCGCTCTCACTCTCCATCTCCTTCTCTCAGGAAAGTGAAGAAAAAATCGATTCTTTTAGCTATTTTTCATGCTCATGGTTCTTGGGTGATTGTTGAAATTCTCTTCTGGAATCGTCTCTGAGCCCAACGAGCATGGCGTCGACGGAAGATCATCAAGAATTCGAGAAACCCATCTTCGAATTACACTACACGAAGTTCCGAAGCTCTCGCAAGATGAGGAATCGTTTTGTAGAATCGATGAATCATTACGAAGAGATCTTTTGCTACTACGGAGTGAAGGAAATCCGGAAGAAATCTCCACTCGGTACACGGACGAAGAGGATAAAGAAGCGTTTGATTCGGTGCAGAGAGTGCAGTAAAGGTTTTCGATACGAGAAGTGCTTGAGGAACCATAGCGAAACTATGCATTCGTTGAAAGAGAAGAAGAAGAAGAAGAGCGAATGTACAAGAAGGGATTTGTTGTGTTTCTTCAGAAGTGGTGTGCAGAGAGGAAAGAGGTCGAAAAGAGTTTCCAGGTACAAGAAGCGTCCTCCTCCACTCTCAGTTTCTGCTTCTTCTTCTTCGTTTGTGAATGATGGAGAATTGGTGGAAGTCGCTGAGTGTCTGATTATGTTGTCTACGAGTGGTGATGCTCTGTTTCCGAATCTAGAGATGAATAAGAGAGAATGTGAAGATGGGGAAAAGCTAGTTGGGAAATTAACAAATGAGTCATTGAGTAATGAGGCAACTAAAGAGTTTTTGGGTTTCTTGGGAGACAAGAAGGTTATGAAAGAAGATGAAACGGGTCAGCTGAAACTTGTAGGAGCAGGAAGTTTTGGAGGAGAAGTTGCAGTGGAGAGAGTGAGCTTGGAAGATAGGCCTGAGATGATGTTGCATAATGCTATCGAAGAGAGACTTGACGGCCAAGAAGCTGTATTTGAAGTTTCGTGTTCTGGAAGTAAGATTTTGCTGATGAACAATGAGTATAGGTGTACGCTCTGTGACATGGTTTTTTCGACGTATCAAGCTCTTGGTCGTCACCAGACGTTCCATAAAATGAAGAACAATTCTGAAAAGTCAAAGCATGAGATGCAGAGAAGAGTCCCTAGAAGCTGAAGTTGAGAGTGGCTCAGTGACGTTGACTGGTGGAGTATTTGAGCTGAGGTATTGAAGAAGATGATAAGGTCTCTCCCTCCACTCACTCTCTCTCTTTCTATAGTGGAGTTTTGGAATTTTGTGTTGAAACTCCATCGTATTTGTCTTGTGAAGTGTAACATACGTAAAGACTTTAGCTTTTTTTAAAGTCTTTAGTTTCAAAAGTTGTACAGTATCAGTGTAGTCTTGGTATGGCTTTAGTGATCAGAAAAAAAAAAGGGAAAATTGCCAATAAGGGATGAAATAATGTTAATCTTGTCACCTTAGAATTAAATTCACAATCCTTGTCCCTATAGTATAAATAATAATGAAAATCCTGTTTTGTCCTTAAATTTAATATTTATATGAAAAATTAAAGAAATTAATTAGTGAATCGAGAGGGGGTTATGGATTGGGAGAACGTAGCTGCTGAGGATGTGATAGAGGCTCTACGAGAAGTGGAGTGGTCGACGCCTCCTTGTTCATTGGGAGAGTTCGTCTCTAGATTCGTGTCTCAAATGCAATCTCTACTAGTAATTATATTATCATTTTTTTTCTTTCTCCCGCTTCCAATTCTGGATATTTTGATCTTATGTTTGTTTCATTATTGTTGCAGCTATAGGACGAATTACTTTATCCTGGTTATTTTTGTTATGGGTTAGTGAAAAGTTTGTATTTTTGAGGATTTTTTTGTTTATTTTAAGCTCTTGTAGAGTTTGTTAACATATTTTTTTGTTTTGACTTAGGTCTTGCTTTGATTACAAGACCATTGGCTATTGTGGGTGCTGCTTTTACTGCCTGAAGTATAGCTTTCCTTAACGACATGTAATGTCACTTCGTTTAGTTTCTACGTTTTATATATCTGCTCTGCAATTTCGATTGAGGCTTCTCATGGCAAGTATGGAGAGATTTAAGACTCCTTTTTATACAGTGGTTGCTCTTTAACTGAATTTCAGTATTGAAATCTATAGGTTTCATGATTTTGTTTCTTGAAATCTGAGTGTTTCAAGGTTCTTTGTCACATTCATGTGTGGCGGTTTGGTTGTTCATATTGATATCCGGCTTTGATGTTAGGTTCTTCTCGCTTAGCATTGAACCGCAAGTATTGTAGCTGCTGTAGTAGTGTGTGCGTGTTCTTAGTCGATTGGGTGTTCTTGAAGCTTAAAGACATTGTTTTTTTTGTAGCTTTGCGGCTACTTTTAATGAAAGTTTATAAGAACTATTAGGCTTTTCTCTCCACACTTGGCGGCTAAAATGAGGCCTCCACACATGTGAGTTTCTTATTTTAATTTATTTTCCTTGGAAGATATCAAGAGAGTTCTTAGTTACAACTCTTATCTTGTGAGCACTTGCAGGCCTGTCATACGTGGGTCAGCAGCAAGAAAGACGGTATACGCTTGTTTCAGTGATCTCCATGGTGGTCTTGTTCGTACACTTGGTAGCAACACCTTCATCGAAGTCCAATGCATCAAAAAGGAGCAACAAGAAGAGACGCTAAATTAGTGAAACGATGGTGAGAAAGCTTTGCTTGGTGCTTTGTTGTGTAGCAGACTAGCAGTTAAGCACAGTTTCAGAACTTGTAGAATTAGAGAATGTACTTTAATTTTGGTGTTTTAGTCTGCAGTCATGAAGGGTCTCTCTTTTACTCATTCTGTCTCATGCTTCATATGGCTTAGTCTGCATTCTCTTTTGCATAGTCAGGAAGTTCTCTTCTTTTGTTATGGTTTTCTGATCAAAGTTTAGATAAAAGGTTCTATGAATGATGATTTGAGCTTGAAATTTGAGGCCTCTTCCAATTTCCAAAACTAATAGGTTCGTCAATATGATGGCTTTTAATCATTGACATGCACATATGTCAGCATCCATTTACGCTGTTAAAATCTAGTTCTATTTGTGTTTAAAAAAATCAGAAAACTTAAAGTTAGTAGCATGTAAGACTTGAAAACGGAAATCTAAATGAACTTACTGAACATAATATACGTTAAGTAAAATTCATAGGAAAGTAAAAACGTCAAAGCCCGTCTAGCTCAGTTTGTAGAGCTCAAGGCTCTTGACCTTGTGGTCGAGGGTTCGAACCTCATGGTGGGCGATATTATTTTTTTTTTGTTAATTAGTAACTATTTTTTAAAAGGAAATAAAAATATTTAAAAGATTTAGAAAATATTTCATAACCGTTTTTGGCTAGATTTTCGGATCTTATTTAAAAATTTTCTAGAACTTACATTCTACCAATATAGAAGGTAGACGATAAAGTAATATATGATATACCACGATTGTAGATAAAAAGAAATCTGGAAGAATGTAGTTCCTACGATGCTAGATAATATGTGTGTTTTTATGACTTACAATCTACCAAATATGTAGACTATATAGGTTTGGTAGATTACATATTCTGATTTAGTAGTTATGTTTGTTTATGCTATATTGTGCATCCTACTGTGTTTAGAGCATTGACAATTTGTTAGATTATATATTCTACATTGTCGTAGATGATAGATCTTACATACTAACACCTTTACCCCATTTTTGAATTTACTATTTAAACATCTTTTGAATACAAAACTATTTTTCTTAGATGCACATGTTTATCTACATCAAGTTTACTATTTTTCCATAATTTTTTAACTTGTAAAAAAATTAATATGAATTTTCAAAGACTAAAAGGGTAGTGAAGGTCCAAACATGCCAAAAGTTGATTTTGTTCTAAGGAGACAATAGTATAGTTATTTTGTCCCTTTTTGGCAATTTTCCCAAAAAAAAAAGACTTTACTTTTTGTTCCTTTCTTGTTTCTCAAGAAATTGAAGAAAATCATTTTCCCATAAGCTAATAATCCTATGATCTATTTGTTTTTAGTAATGAGTAGGAGTAGCAGCTTGTTGTCTATTTTCTTTTTTAACATTCATACTATTCCTAATTCTTTTCTATCAAAATCATTATTGTTTGGGCATGAAAGTAGGAAGGAAGAAACCTATAATTAGCTTAATACAAAAACCCTAAACTCAAGGTCAAAACACCAAATCCCAACACACAGTTTTATCATACAAAAATCCAATTAAAAATCTCTTAATCCAATTATAATCGAGATCTAAATATTAATTACAATTTTTTTGGGATTTTGTGTGTTAACTTTTAGATCCACCGGCGAAATTCACTTGGAAGAAAAAAAAAACATTAAACATTTGGTTCTTCTCACATTTTGTCGTCTTCTTCTTTGACAAGAAGCAGCTCATTGAATAAAATTCCAGATAATTACTGGCTGTCGGAGATCTAAATGCGGTCTGGGAGAAGACCACAAGGAGTAATAAGAAGAGCTAATAGGAGTCGGATTCGAGAGGTAGATCGAGATCGGAGGGGAGGAGGTGATGTTGTTTGGTTTGGGATTGGGATTGGGATTGGGATTGGGTGGAATTAGGGTAAAAGGATGCAACTTCAGATATCGCCGAGCATGAGAAGCATCACGATATCGAGCAGCAATGATTTGATGAAGATCAAAGTCGCGCCACGTCACATCTCTTACCGAACTCTCTTCCACACTATCTTAATCCTCGCCTTCTTGTTGCCTTTTGTCTTCATTGTTACCGCTCTTGTTACCCTTGAAGGTCTCAACAACTGCTCCTCCATTGGTAATAAAAGTCCCCTTCCTTGTAGTTTCTGTGTATAGACCTATCTGCTTTTGTTTATAGGCATTGGTTTTGTTGTTAAATCAAAAGCTTATCACTTGCATTATGTTGTTTGGATCCAATGGCTATGTCAACAAAGTTTTGCACTTTAAGGTCTTACAAATGAATCACTTAACGTCTCAATTGAGCCGATTGAGTTTTAGTTGTATTGCGTAGTATGATGTTTCAAGCTTAGTTTTGGAGAATTCCCTTGTTGTGTGTTGTGTGGGGCTAAAAATTTACAAACTTTGTCTTGGTATTAATAGATTTGAACCAAATTTTGACAAGACCAATCATAAAGCTGTTCTATTTGCGCTTATAGTTCATATGTTTAGCTTCGCGACCTGAGATTCCTTCTTGTGTACCGTTCTTATTATGCTCATTTGATGAGCTTATGAACGCTTATTGTCTTTTCATATCTTTTTTTTGTTGCTTCAGATTGTTTAGGGAGGCGGTTAGGACCACGTTTTCTTGGTAGGATAGATGATTCAGAGGTGAGTGCTTTCTTCTTTTCTGATTTTTTTTTCTTAAAACAAGTTACAAGATGGATTCCTCTGTATCGTTTACTTTAATTCGTATCTTTTGTTACAGCAGAGACTAGTTAGAGACTTTTACAAGATTTTTAATGAAGTAAGCACTCAAGATATTCCAGATGATTTAAACCTTCCAGCTTCTTTTCGCCAACTTGTTTCCGATTTGAAAAACAACCACTACGATGCCAAAACATTCTCCGTCGTTCTTCGAGCTATGGTACGTACATTCTCTACTCTGAAATTCATTGTTAAAAATTTAGATGAGTGCTAATGCTTATATGATTTGAGCAGATAGAGAAGTTTGAAAGGGATATGAGGGAATCCAAATTTGCGGAACTTATGAACAAACACTTTGCAGCAAGTTCGATTCCAAAAGGAATACACTGCCTCTCTTTAAGACTAACCGATGAATACACCTCCAATGCTCACGCTCGGAGACAGCTTCCTTCCCCAGAGCGCCTCCCTCTTCTCTCAGACAACGCTTACCACCATTTTGTTCTCGCTACAGACAATATCTTGGCTGCATCCGTTGTGGTCTCATCAGCTGTTCAATCATCTTCCCAACCAGAGAAAATCGTCTTCCATGTTATCACAGACAAGAAAACCTACGCGGGAATGCATTCTTGGTTTGCTCTTAACTCCGTTGCTCCTGCGATCGTTGAAGTCAAGAGCGTTCATCAGTTTGACTGGCTAACAAGAGAGAATGTTCCGGTTCTCGAAGCTGTGGAAACCCATCACGGTATCAGAAACTATTACCATGGGAATCATATCGCTGGTGCAAACCTTAGTGAAACAACTCCGAGAAGATTCGCTTCCAAGTTGCAATCAAGAAGTCCTAAATACATATCTTTGCTCAACCATCTTAGAATATACCTACCAGAGGTAACAAAGATGTCTGCCCTTTTTGAATCAATCATTCGGAGTTGAGAATATGAATGTAATGTTTGTTTGTTTTGGTCTTTTTGAGCAGCTTTTTCCAAACTTGGATAAGGTAGTGTTCTTAGATGATGATATAGTGATTCAGAGAGATCTGTCTCCTCTTTGGGATATTGACCTTCACGGGAAGGTAAATGGAGCTGTGGAGACTTGTAGAGGAGAAGATGAATGGGTTATGTCAAAGCGTCTTAGGAACTACTTCAACTTCTCTCACCCGCTCATCTCAGAGCATTTGGATCCGGAAGAATGTGCTTGGGCTTATGGAATGAATATCTTTGATCTACGGACTTGGAGGAAGACAAATATCAGAGAAACTTATCATTCTTGGCTAAAAGCGGTAAAGCATTATATTAACCTGTAAATGTTTTTGAGTTTTATGTTTTCCAGAAGTGACAAATCCTTGATTTTGCTTTGTGGTTTTGATCTGATGTGTGCAGAATCTGAAGTCGAATCTAACAATGTGGAAACTTGGGACATTGCCTCCAGCTCTGATTGCATTTAAAGGTCATGTTCAGGCAATAGACTCGTCTTGGCATATGCTTGGGTTAGGATATCAGAGTAATACCAACTTAGAAAATGTGAAGAAAGCTGCAGTGATACACTACAATGGCCAATCAAAACCGTGGCTGGAGATAGGTTTTGAGCATCTCAGGCCATTCTGGACAAAATATGTGAACTACTCAAATGATTTCATTAAGAGTTGTCATATCTTGGAATAACCAAACAGAAAGCTTTCAGTTAGTCTTGAAGCAGGCTGGAGATTTTCGTCGGATTTTAGCTGGACGATGGTACCAGTTACAGAGCTGCAGAAGAAAGAGAGATTCATTTTTCTATAATCATAGAAGGTACCACAAAGAAAAGGTTTATGGGGACATACCAGAAGAGGCTTTTTGGGCATATGATCAGACTATATACTAAAGAAGAGCAACAACACTATTACATTTGTTCCACATGTTCCTGATATTTGATATATTTGATAGTCTATTATTTAATTTCATTGGCTTTTACAATTTAGTGAACATTATTGATTTGTTAAGGTCCATATATGACACCGATCATGAGACTTTTCTTGATGCAGAGGTTATCACAATTATTGTTGAAGGGTAATAAAGTAAGAAAAAGCAAATGAATTAACAAATGTTTTTAAAGTTAAAAATGATGTATTTTTTTTAAATGAAAGAAAAGTATTGTTTTAGTTTAAACTGCCTTGTTTAGTCCAAAAGTTTTCTTCACAAAAAAGATTTCCCCATGTGGGCAAAACACTATTACAAAACAAGTAAGCATGTAAGAATTTCTTGGAACACAAAAAAAGAAAAAGGTAATAGTAAAAGTGTTTTTATGGATTGATGGGAAAATTCAAAGGCGCATAGAAGGGAAGAATATGAGAGAAAGATGGAAGCTTTGACCGCCATTGATTCTCTATAGTCTAACCACATCTCATTTCCTAACTCTCTCTCTCTCTCTCTCTCTGATGCGTGTTCTTGTCTTTTATTTTGATTCATTGGCTCATCAGATCAGTCACAGAGCCAAGTAAGAATTCACCTTTTATTCAGGGTTTCTTTATTCTTCCTTTCAAATCTGGATTCATTGATTTAACAGATCCTCTTGAGAATCTCATTCTAAATGTTTCTGATTTCTTGATCTTTTTAACATTCTTAAATTCATGTATTATTCTGTTAAAGATCCTCTGTTTTATTGCTCTGTTGCATGCGATCCATTTATGAATCAGATTCTGCCAAAAATAATTATCTATTTAACCATTTTTCCTTCTTCAGGTTTCTTCTTCATCTTTGCAAACAACTTATTGAATATAAAAAAACAAATCCTCTCTTTTTTTTCTTGACACATTTCAGATAGAGAAGAATAAAGAAGGTCCTGTTGGGATTTTCTTACATTGACAAACTGCTCAACTTTTTTGGCAAATAGATGGCAGAAGTTCATAATCAACTAGAGATCAAGTTTAGGTTAACTGATGGTTCTGATATTGGCCCTAAAGCATTTCCTGATGCCACAACTGTTGCCGCCTTGAAGGAAACTGTTATTTCTCAATGGCCTAGAGGTCAGTTTTAATTGCTTTGCTTGCTTACCTGAGAAATGAGATTTGTGAAAGGCTTTTGAATGTTTCTTGGAACTATGGTTATGGCTTTGGTTGATGATTAGAAATTCAAACAAAAGTTGGTATAAAGAGTATCATTTCAAAGTTTTGGGGGGGTAAAGCACAAGAATTAAGAAAATTCACCTCTTTTAAAATTACTTTTAAAAATATAAATTAAAAATAGTTTGGCCAGTTATAAAGATGTATAACCGAATTGGCTAGACAATTTTCAGTAAAGTTAGAGTTAAACATAGAAAAGACAAAACATATTATATTTTGAAACAACAAAACCTTTCTAAACTCATATGTTATGAAACAGAGGGAGTATGGTGTATTCAATAACTTTTTGTTACTGATCATTTAACCTACCTGTATTTTGGTTCTGTATGTGCTTTTGATTCGAGCTAGAAAAGGAAAATGGGCCGAAGACAGTGAAAGAGGTGAAGTTGATAAGCGCAGGTAAAGTTTTGGAAAACAACAAGACAGTTAAAGACTACCGAAGCCCTGTCTCTAATCTAGTAGGCGCTGTCACCACAATGCACGTTATCATCCAACCTCTGATTACTGAAAAAGGTAAATAAAGAAAAGACAGCCTCTACTTAAAGCTTCAAAATGTGTTCTCGGCTTGACATAGAGACGTTGTTTCTTTTATTATGTTTGGAAACAGAAAAGAAGCCTAAAGGTGATGATCCGAAGATGAACAAATGTGTTTGCTCAGTCATGTAAGACAAAACGCAAAATCTCAAGAGAAGTCAGATTACTGATCTGGTTCCCTCACGTGGTTTGGTATAGATTGTTTACTGATTGCGGATACAGAATCATTAAGTGTTGAACCTTTTTTTATAAAGTATAAATCAAATCTCTTTTACTAGCTTGTTGCAAGAATCACAGATCATAGATGTAGTAGTGATTCAGAACTTGTTAAAGACAAAAGTAGACTCTGCTTTACCTCTGTTTTCAGAACTTTTTGTCCCATCTAAGAATACCAGAATAGAGTTCATCTCTTTAATGCATGATCCCGTTAGAGATGAACTAGTATAAATTCTCAATAGCATATGAAGAAAGACGATGAAAAAGACAATTTATCATATCATTTATTTCATAAAAGGTTTAAAACTGGAAAGCAAAAACAAATGAATCAGATAACTCAATCTTGAAAACACTAAAAGGAACAAAGGAGGGGTGATTCATCTTTTTCTTGGTGGGAAATCAGTTGTTGAAAAGAAGTTATTGCCTTTATATGATGTATCTTCTAAACCTTTACTGGACCTATACTTTGGGCTTTGATTTGTCAGTTATATAGGTCCTTCGAATTACAGTTGCTTGAACCATACATTTTTGTCTTTAAATTAAATTTATACTTGTGGAAAACAAAATCTTACATTTTTTGTCTTGTCTTGGGTAGAGGTTTCTATGAAATAAACGTGTGAAAAGGAAATATTATAGCAATTGATTTGTATTATCAGTTGCTGATATTCCACAATCATAATGACATGAGTATACAAGCCAGGCAAAAAAAACCCTAGATCGTTTAGTGTATTCCTGAGCACCACATCTATAGATTTTTCCACATCTAAGAGATTTGATGAGTTTATTTTATGCTTACAAAAAAATATACGCGGATAAGAACACACATAAATAAATTATGTTAACAAACATTTTTAATTTTCAATAGTCAATGTTTGTCTTGTAGTAGGTGATATAATAAGTTGCAAGTTTTTTTTTGAGAAACAATAAGTTGCAAGTTGGTCGCACTGTCACATGACATCAAAGACAAAAGGATGTTTGGGAACACGTTTATCAAAAAAAAAAAAAAAAAAAAAAAAAAAAAAAAAAAAAAA